AGCACAGTGCTGATTAGTGTCACACCCTCTCTAGCACGCTGAAATTTTGGAAGGCAGCACATCAGCAGGATGCAGTCCTTTCCTATGCTTTTCCCAGAGAGGAGGGAAGAAAGGAGTTAGAAAACATGTAGCAGGAAAACAACAACCCCAAATAATAATAACAAAAAGGAAACAGTAAAAATAAAGCATCGGAAGTACACCCTCAGCTTTGCTGAGAGGATGTTTTCCTGTCCCTGTTTTCCAGCTCCCTTTTTTCCTCTTTTCCACAGCAAATCCAGTAATTTTGATTTCACGGTTGCTGGTACCTTGATGACATTTCTGCTTCATCCTTACAGTCTCCAGTAAGAGGCTGGCAGGGAATGCTTCTTGCTTTCCCAAGGAGCAGAGGCAGCTGATGTTTCCTGACCTCCCTTCCTCTCCCGTCTCCTCCAGGTTACTGCGTGAAGCTCGTCTGCATTCACCCCATCCGGTACCATGGCCAAATCCGCAGGGGGCAACAGCTTGGGAGAATGCTGCCCATGCAGAAAGTGTTTCCTGGCATTATTTCTCATATCCACGTCGAGAACTGCGACCACTCCGATCCTACCCACCTGCTTACGCCCGGTAAAAAAACCCCCAAAAATGAAAAAAGCAGCCCAGAACAGGAGTAGAGTTGCACTCAAGGACCTGTGATTCTCTCTTTGAATTTTTGTCTCTAAAGCATGTCTGAGATATTACTATCCAGCTTAGTTGTACATTCTACTTACATTTCCTGTAAAGATGACAAATCCTGTGGAGGGAAATCTGACTGCCCACATGGGATGTAATTCCAACATGTTCTTACCCAACTGCATTAAAACACAGCAGTCACAAACATGCCAGGCTTAAAACAATCAGAAAGCTAACTTTGATGTGCTGTGTTTCTGTGTTTCAAAGATGTCCCACCACTGCCACAACGAGACAGCGGCTGGGCCACGGTGTGTGCTGGGAATCCCACCAACGAGATAAGGGGCTGTGATAAGTACGGCTGCGGATACTACGGAGCTCCGAGGTAACCGTGCCATGGGAACACGTGGGGTTGTGTTGTTCCTCCACTGAAATAAGAGTTGAACGCTGTTTAAGTCACTTAAGAATCACAGCTTTGAAGGTTTGGGTTGGACATGAGCAAACTTTTAGGCCGCACACATTGTTGATAACACTTCTCTGCTTGGAGGTTTTTATCGCTCCGACTAAGCTGTGCCTGACCTGGTGTTGGGAACAGTCCTGACTTGATGTCCTTCACACAACCAAACTTTCTGTGACTCCACAGTTCTATTTAAGACTTGGAAGAAAGGCTTTTTCTCCAGCCCTAACAGGTCACCCACCCTATTAAACCACCAAAAATCCTTTACGGATCCTTCAGCCTGTCTGACACTATTTCCATCCTAACAACCCATTTCCAGGGATCACCCCGTGCTGCCTGCTCTCCCTCTCTAACAAGAGATGTCTCTAATCCCATCCCTGTTTCCAGGCGCAATGGCAAAGGGAAGCACAGGGCAGTGGATGTGATCTGTGCTGACGGGGCCACCGTGTACGCTCCCTTCTCCGGGCAGCTCTCCGGGCCTGTCAAATTCTTCCACAACGGAAACGCCATCGATGACGGAGTCCAAATCCAAGGCTCAGGTAAACGGCCACTCTTCATTTAATGTCTCTGAGGTCACACAGGATGTGTGACCTTGCAGCTACCAAGCACTTCAGCAAGGTAAATGTCTTCTTCTATCCACCTACTCACAGAACTTTTTGCTCCTGCTACAACGCTAGAGTGTCTTTGAGCCCTACCCTTTACTAAAGCAGCAATTCCCACCTTTTCCCTGCCTTCCATCTTCCCTCTTCCACCAAGTCAATGACTTCAACCACTACTTATTTTTTATGACCATAATGCCTTTGCTATTTTGGTATTTTCACTATTGCTATCTCAGTGGAAAGGCTAAGACGGAAATTGTTAATATTTCTGAAACAGAGTTAGTACAGAAAAACAAACGCTTCATCACTCACCTGACATTTTCCCTCCTTTCTTCCACCAGGGTTCTGTGTAAAACTACTCTGCATCCATCCCATAAGATACAACGGTGCAATTTCCAAGGGACAAGTCCTTGGGAAAATGCTGCCAATGCAAAGAGTATTTCCTGGCATCACCTCTCACATCCACATTGAGAACTGCGATCACTCGGATCCTACAAGCAATCTCGAAAGGGGGAAAGGGCGAAGAGAGTGAAATGGAAATGCAGCAAATTCTAAATAAATTCATCTCAGCATCCAACAGTTGTTTTTTCTCCTCATGAAAAAGTCTATGCTATTACTGATTCATTTCTTTGTGAGTTACACAAGCAGTGTCTCTAGTGGAGGCTCACACAAGGGAAAAAGATTTGAGTTTTTGTTGGAGGGAATTGGGGAATTAGCAATGATTAGTTATAAGCTTTCTAAAAAGAGCCTGAAAAATCAGCTAAAATGCAAACTAGCTACCCCCTCATGTCTTCATATCCACCCACAAGTTCTCACTTTTACCCTTTCCAGTCTCTCCCCCACCCCACTGGGTGTGTGGGGCTGAGCTGCCAGCCAGGGTTAAACCATGACAGTGACAAACACCACCAGCTAATTAATGTAGAATTCTCATTATCAACAGGAAGACAGACCAGGTACAGCATGAAAGTGATTACAGCAAAATTTATATACAATGAGTTTTAGTTTACAGTGAGCAAAATGTCAACACAAAAATACAGACTCTAATTTACATCAACTCACCATGCCTCTCCCCTTTTAAGAAAATAAATATATTAAAATCTTCTTTCTTAAAAAACAATTAGTAGCAACAAGTATTAAACAGTCCTGAATTAAATATTTCAGGATCACCTCCAGCAATCCTTTCTCTAGAAATCAGGGCTTACAGCACAGCCAAGATCACTACAGGCCATCCTGGCCTGTCAGTGACAAGTAATTTAAGTGCTCTAAATCCTGGATTCCACACAGAGAGGGATCAAAGACAACTCTATTCCATTTGTTCCTTCCTTCTCACCAGCCACATTTATGAAATCCTTCTTATCTCTCAATTATGAAAACATGGAACAGCATTTCAGACAGTCTGAAAGACCAAATCCAAAGCTATTCCTTATATCCCAACAGTTTCCAAAGTGCCTTATTACTCACTCAAGCAGTCAATCCAGCTACAAACTTTTACATTCATTAATTTTAACAAAGTCTCTTTCTCTCCCTTTTAATGCATAGGACAAAACCAACATACTGTACAATGCACTCTCAACAGCTTCACTACTGTGACAGAATTATTTAAAGTGCAATTTAATGCTTACAAAAAAACTTTACAGTTTCAGCTTATTAAAATTTTAATATAATACCGTGAGTTTAAACTAGATTACATCTGATTAACCTGGGCTAGTGTATTTTAATGTACAAGCTTTTACAATTAAAACATGAATATTTATAAAAAAAGCTATATAAAACATCATGACAAATAATACTGTACTCCAAGTTGTATACAGCTTTCCATAAAGATTGATTTCCTAAAGGAAAAAAGTTACCCTATTCCTCTTCTGACTACATCAGAAAGATTAAACAAAGACATGAAAAAAACTACTTTAAAGTGAACAGAACATTTAAACTGAAGTTCAGAGAAGCCCAAGTTCACTGAAGTTTGAAGCACCTGTAAACCACAGAACTGTTAAGTACACTTTAATCTATCTTCTATTTCAATATACAATTAATATTCTAGAGTGTTTTGCTGTTAGTCTACCAGAGGTTCTCAAGGTAGAAAAACTCAAATCTGGAAGTAAGTTTTCACATTTCCTTTTGAAATTCCTTATCTGCATAGAAAGCAACACCCTGATTTCACCCCTTTATCCACAAACGGAGAGAGAATTTACCACGTTGGCATCATATCAGGAAACCACATCCTGCCGAGGTGCTTGGAGACCTCCAAATGCAGCCGGTCCAAGCTGTAATCGCTGTCTGGGATCAGCACCTCCTCCATGATGGACAGCTGGGTGAGCCTGCCCCCACACACCTTCACAAACTCCACGAAGCCCCTGCAGGTCACCTCGCACTCCCCCAGGCCCATGGCCGTGAGGTTCTTGCAGCGCTGGGCGATCTGGATGAGCTCAGCATCCAGGGGCTGCAGCCCGTTGGCGCACACGACCAGCTCGATGAGCCGCGGGCAGTTGATGCCGATGCGGCCCAGCAGCGCTTTGCTGACGGCGCGCCCGAAGTACAGGTGTGTGACCGGCGTCTCCTCCCGGAAGAACACGTCGAACTCGTCCTCGTACAGGAAGAAGTACATCACGATGTTCACTTTGGGGGAGTGCTTGACCAGAGCGTCCCAGCTTTGCTTTTTGATGGTGTGGAATTCCACCTGCCCGGGGTTCTCGCTCACGACGTCGATGCGAAGGTGCTCGAGGTCGACGTGCTTCTCGCTCGACAGAGCCAGCAGAAGCTCATCACTTAAGATGTAGTAGTTCAAAGCCAGCTCCTTAAGTCCGTGGCACTGATCAGCGACACAAAGAATGCCTGAGGAACAAGAAAAATTAACTCTGTAAAATGAAAAGCAAATATGAGCACAGTTGTTCACTGTAAAGCTCAAGCAAGTACTGATTCTATTGGCTTGAGTTTTCATGCTTATATCCAAAAGCCCTGAAATACTGAAGTTCTAGATATCCACAGCATTTTACAGAGTTCTGGCCATCAACATTTATCAGTAAAAGACCCAAGTCTAACTAGTCATACTCATATTGGATCTGCTTATCGTCCTCTTTGCCCTTCCCTATGCAGCTTTGAAGCAGCAACTGAAATTAGGTCAGATGCAGCTGAAGTCGACACTTTTCCCTTCTTCCTTCAACTTACATCTACACTGTTTAAATCACCACCAGCAACCTTGTTTAACAGTTAAAACAGAGCCTTTCGAGAATTAAGACATAAACAACATAACTGCTCTTCATCTGCTGGAATACAAAGTACACAGATTAAATCACCTTTTGTGGACTCCAGAAAAGAATACAGGAGATAGACCAGTCCCAGATTCCCTTTCCCTAGCATTAAGGTTTCAGGAGAAAAGAAAGTGGGACCCAAAAGCCCTCTGAACTTTCTAGCAAGGGAGTATTCCAAAGGCAGTGAGCCCTTCACCAACCAGTGAGTTCAGATCCAGATCCAGACACACGAGGGCCCTACAGAAACTGAAAACACTCCCAGTCTTCACCACTAGTTTGTGCAATTTGTACACACTCAGAGCACCTTGCAAAGCCATTACTGACACTCCTTTAATCTCCTTTATCCCACCAAGCAGTAGTTGATTCATGGATCAGGGATTTTGTGTGTGTGTTCCCATTATTGTTTTGATACTTTACAACTCCGTTTGTCACATATATTCACTACTCACCAGCAGGTGAAACGTGAGGACAGCTGCTCATTTTTAGCAGTTTTAGAGTGTCACTGTTGTTAGCAACAAGAACCTTCAGGGAAGGATCATCAACTGGTGTGTCATCTATCTTGATTGATGATAATGACTTGGAGTTTACAAAAACTACTGTCAGTGCTGAAGCAAAATGAGCCTGTTTGGAGAAATGGAGGGAAGGAAAAAAAGTCTTATGAAAAGATGGGCAGAACTTCAGCTTCCCAACCTCACATTCTGCACACACAGAAAGTAGAAAAATAATCACTTCTTAGTCATTCCCTTTCTTGTGCAACAAAGAAAGGCTTATTTGAACATGAACATAGGGGATCTTTGTTTAAAAACACGCTGCTGCACATGACAGAAGTCAACTTTACACTCAGTAATTAACTCATCCACTCTGATTTATTGTTTCCCTGTAATAAAACAAGGATAAGTGGACACAGTGATGAGCCCAAAGTACCTCGTTACAGTTTGTAGAACATTACCTTAGAGACATTCATGAAGCTTGGCTTTGCTGTAGAGATTAAACCCAGTGTCTTGATTGAACAATTCACCAGCTGAGAAAGGATGTCACAAGCTGCTTCTGCTGACTCAGTACTACTATCAACCTGTAAAAGCAATTTTAAAATAATGAAGTCATTCTTCAGTATTACTGAAAAAACAGCACCATGGATACCCAAGACTGCAAGTTCCACACCTGGTCAGCTGTGCTGCTCCAGCCTGCAATTACCACAGGGACAAAGTGCAGCATTAATCAGAAATTTCAAGATAAGAACAAGTCCAGGAAAGTTCAGGAAAATTTTCCTGAGTATGACTGCTGGGCATTTCTAGTATGAACAGAGACCTTAAATCTGAGCCTTCTCTTCAAATAACCTCATGTTATTACAGTCCTGTAACAGTACTGGTGCTACAACAGGCAGTGATACATATTTTTTTTAAATGCCAACTCTTGGAGCCCAAAAAAGACTTGGCAAAGTCTAGATTTAATCCATTTTATCTGCATGGACAATATCTTTGCATCTTAAATAATGAACTGGTTCTCAATTCCTTAGCCTGAAGAGTGACTTTGGACAAGTCTCTGTTTCATCTCACCTTCTCTCCTCTGCCTTGCATGACAACAGCTCTTTCTTTACTTTGTAGAGATCAGAGTGTGGAAAGTTGAAGGAAGCTGCCTGTGCATGTGGAAATAAATTGCTGCAAGAGCAAGACTTCCCAGGTCCAACCCTTAATGCAGCTGGCACAGAGCAGCTGCATGCCCTGCACACAGTAAGGTGACAGAGCAGATGCAGTTCCAGGCTTACCTTGAAGCTGACGTACTGCAGGTGATCAGCGTGCCTCTTGATAATCTGCTGAATGAGGTCTGGGTGGGTAGACTTTAAGTAAGAAGTGGCTGGCTGGCTGAGTTCAAATTCAAATCTCCTCCAGAGATCTGGGATGTGAAAAACCTCATTCCACCTTCGGCAAACAGAAGACGCCCTGGCTCGATCCACCAGAGTGAGGAACTGGAAAACACGCAGGATCACGTGGTGGGGGAGGCTGCCCCAGTCCATCGAGGTGCATAGGGCAGATTCACCAAACACTGAGCCATATGAACTAGTTTTCTGTTTTTTGCTTGTCTGTGATGTGTGAGGAGCTTCAGTTCCAACCACAACTCTCTGCCCAGCTCTCTTCATCGTGGAAGTTTCAGGGGCTGTAACGATCCGATGTGTTCAAACGGCAGTTTCCTGGAAGGGCTCACGCACAGCAGGGCTCTAGAAAAATACAGGATATTAGGGGAGGAAGGGAGACAGGGCAGTGGAAACACAGGAAGAGATAACAAGGCAATAAAGTTTAAATATAGCATGTTAC